TTGTTCCTTTTGTTTAAGTGGAGGGGGGGTGGTAAAATCTCCCCAACTCATCTCTCCTCCGAGCTGCCTTTACACTTGACACTAGTGCATCTTTGTATAGGAACAAAAAAGGTTACTTACATTGCTTATGTTTGATAATGTATTTGTCTGCCTCTTAAAATATGGGACACCTTGAGGTTAGGTTTTGGTTTTTGTTTGGAGTCACTAAAGTAAATTAGCATAGTTGTTAATTTCTGCACCTTGTATCTTCCCATTGGGACTTTAAATAAAGCTCTCTGAGAATGCTATATCAATGGAGAAACAACAAACTGCAACTGTTTCTGACTCTGACTGTTTTTAGAAATAAGAGCAAAGATCTGTTTCTCACGGCTGATTTTATGAAAATTGCCCCCTTCAGAAAACATCTTATTAATCTCCTTATGTGTCATTGCAGCAACAATGTTCATGCCACAGCTTGGGATTGAGCTAGAAGTTAATCAGAAGTTAATCAGATGGTATGGTTCCTTTTCTAAAGGAAAGCATGTAAAGATAAAGTAAACTAAAATGATACTTTCCCTTGCACCATATCCATTGGTACAAGTCGTAAGAATAACTCTGCAATTTGCAACTGTTCTACTTTGTTTCATGTGCTGAATGTGGTGTCCTGTCATCCAGTTCTGAAGTTATTAAATTTCTGACCTGGAGCACATATGAAAACACTCGACTGCACATTAACTCTTAAGTATGTTTGTCATGATTTAGGGGCACTTCAAGCTGTGTTTGTGCTGAGTTCTGTTAGCGAGTGGCTTGTCTGTAGTCTGGGATTTTGGTCTTATATTGCTGCTGAAACAAAGCTGGCCAACGCAAAGTGGTTATGACAGTAAGTGTTGGAGACCACTGCTGGCACCTAACTTGTTTAATACTAAGGTGTGGCCCCACAGTACCATTGCCTTGCCCAGTTGGACCAGAGTGTAATGATGTGTTTGAAAATAATTTGCACTGTCAACTCCAGCTGTCCAGAGGCTTGACAAATACAGAGACCTTTCTCAAACTGTGCAGTGGAGAGGGGGTGGGGGAGATAAGTGTGGGACAAGGGGAGGGAACGGGGTGGTTTGTGTTGATATGATGAATTGTAAAAACCCATTGTGTAAAATGCAGCTGTGTGTTGTGTTTTGTACTGGCTACAGGTGCAGAGCTCTCACCTATCTTGAATAAGAATTATTTATATACCTTAACGCTGCATGCAGATGAGAGAAAAAGTATCCCAACTTGTTAACGCAAAATGTGGCTGTGCCTTTTTTCTTGTTTTTGTATATTATCTGATCCCTATTAAAAATAAAAAAATAAAAAAAAGTTGGGGAAGGGCAAAAAAACTGAATAAGAGAAAAGTTATTTATATAAGCTATAACACTCAGATTTATTTCATTCTATTGTGTTAAAACATGGAGTACTGCAACATGCAGCAATGATCCCAAAGCTTACAAGGGCAGTAGGGGGAGTTTTGTCTTGAAGTGTTTTGGTATCTGTTCACTGCTCAATGTATGGAGAACGGGATCCTGGTGTATTCTAAGGAGTTGTTAAGCAAGGTTTTCTGGAGAAAATACCACACTTTCAAACGTTTTTTTAAATCCTTATATAATTCCAAGTGTTTCTTGCTCTGTTTCACGGAGCTGTAGTGCAGCTCTTTAAACGCGCAGTGGTAACTGCGGGCTCCACGGGTCCGTCTCCTCATTCTTTGCGCGATTTAACAGAGGGACAAGTTTCTCCTCTTTGCAAAGTAGTTCCAAATCTGTCTCTCTGTCTCATGGGGGAAATAAACTGAGGATCTCCAGGCCACGGATGGCTCACATTACAGCCTGAGGCTTGCGATCCTGTCATTGTGCATCAGCAAGGAGCTCACTCGACTCAAAGTCTCAAAGTGGGAGCGTGCAGCAGCCTTCGAAGATGAGCAAGACCTGCAACTGTGATCCCATACCTGAGAGGGGGGTTGTGACACTGTTTATTTTTTTTGTTTTTATTTTTCAATTTCACCTTGGTACTGCTGCTTACTTTGTTCCTGTTCGTAACAGAAAGATGCAAATAGACTTTATGGGTGCTCAGCAGCATTGAAAAGCGGAGCCTTTGTTATAAAAATATATATAATTTGCATTTATTTAACATCTCTTTGATACTTCGAAAGCAAGGGGAGAGGGTTACCTTTGTTTTCTTGTTTTTTTTTTCTTATTTGATTGCCCTTCCCTAATAGTTAACATGAATTGAAACAAGAAATATATAAATATAATAATCTTAAAGGTTTTTAAAGCTCTGTTTCAAATTGTTCATGTTTTGCTGGTTTATGAAGGCTGAAACATTATTTTGAGGAAATTCATACCTTTGTTATAATACATTTAAAAAAATGATGCAGTGTCTGTGTCTTCTTTCTCTCGGAGGTTGTGGCCATCTGGCACACTTCCTTTATTAAGGACGATCGAAACGAAGGAGGTAGGAGGGAAACTTGGGTAACCACCTTTGGGATTTTATTTGTTCTTGGCAGTCAAGTGTGATTGTTCTCAACACAAAGCCCAAAACCAAAAATTGTGATTTTAATACTTCAGCACAGTCAGATTTCTACATGATTGTCCGCCTCAGGCACTGGAGTGTGTGCACCCCAGATGGTGCTGCTGTTTTACACTTGTATCATCTCTGCTCATTTTAAAATGCAGGGACTCTGTCATTTTTTGTGACCAAGCAGGAAGGCAGTGCCAGTATTTTGGTTTGAGTTCACCCACAGTTAGTCTAATCGGAGGACAATACCTATGAATTGTGATCTGCAGCTCTAACAAAGGCAGGGATCCTCACTTTTTGTGAAAGGGTAACGTTTCCCTAATTTAATTAGATATACTGGTGGGGGGGGGGAGAAATGCAACACCTGCTGCTCCACACTCCGGCCCTCCTGTCTGCGTGGAACAGGCTGAAGAGTGAGTCATCCATGAAGAGGACCTGATGCCACTGCTGACGAGTCCATCGCAGCCTCTGTCTGGCCCCTCCAAGACGTCTAGGAGGTGTGAGCAGAGGGCCTCTGACAGGTCGACCTTGCTCTAAGGCTCTAAGGCCAGCAGCATGCAGCTTATTTTTTATTGAGGTGTCAGAATAACAGACAAGATGTGAGGAGCTGTCAGACTTGGTGAACACTTGTTGATGCAGAATGCACCTTAAAAAAATCAATCATGACTCCTTCGAGTTTCATGCACATTGAAGTCACAACTGCGTCTTCTCTTCTACTTGAATTCATGGGTATGAACAGTAACAAAAAAAAAAGGCAAATGGTCTGTAAAATAGATTTCTTCCCATTTCCAATCTAGTGTTTTTCAGTCAGTGGCAGTGTAAGAGTCTGGTGTGTTTCATGTCTCTTCTAGAACTGTAACCTCAGCTGACAAAATGAATGTACTTTATTCTTAATTGTTGTAGGCTGTCATTATCGGCCTTTTAAGAGGTTGTTTCTTCAGCTTAAGAGTTAGTGAAGCACTCTTTGCCATTTAAAAAATAAGGATGCAACTGTACTGCCATTGCTGTCTTCACCACTCCCTGACTGTCCACTCAGAATGTCCACACAGCCAGTGACAACCTATTGACGTTACCCAGAAATCTCTTTTGGAAATTTCTGCCACCTTGTGACGGCTCTGAATAAAAATCTAAAATGGACTGGCCCTAAGTAACTGGCATTGATGCTCGTCCTTTGTTTTGTCTGACCAGTTTACAAAACATCCTAAAACGGAGAGGACAAGCATGCCTTAAAATTTTAATTTGACTGAGACCGGAGCTCGTTTTCATGGAAGATGTTGGAACGCATTCACCTACCCCTCTTGTGGTAAGGACTTCCTCCAGCTCACAAATGTAATGACCCAGGCTGGGAGATGAAAATAGAGGAAGATTGTTTTTGCCATGTTATCTTTAATCCTACCCTGTTCCCTCTGTATTACTGTTTCTGAACAGCTATCGGTGTTGCTCCTTCTTCGGAATATAAAAGCAACTTAAAATGAGGTAAGAATTTGACGTCAAGACTGAAGGAAAATCAGGTTTGCCTGTCTGGTCTCGTGCATCCCGAAAATTAAATCATTTTAGGTTTTAAATATCTCACTGAGGTGAGGTGGCGAATGACAGGTTGTTGTTTTTTTTCAGAGAAAGTTGATGTAATCGTCTGGGGAATCGGATAGTTCTCTCGTCTCTTCTTAAAGATAACTCGGCTCGACTGCACCGCGAAAAGTGTTTTCTGTCATAGAAGGGTTAAGAAAAGCGTGAGCCAGCGAAAACAGTTTGCATGGGGATTGAATAGGTTCATTAAACAAGAACTGTCGTAAACCCCTCGTGTTTACCTCAGACTGATTCTGGGGGATTTTAGTACATGTCTAAAGCACCTGCACTGTACAAATATTAAGCTCAACTAACAGTTCAGCATTTCACTTCAGGTGTTCAAACTCGTATTATAATGTATATTGTTTATGTAAATCGCGACGGCTAATATAGTATAATAAGAATCCTTGTTTGCAGCTAATACGTTAAGTGGTCGATACACTTTAATAAAACTGAGCGGGGGCATAGCTTCATTGTACAGTGTCAGGCCCACTGTTGCGTACCTGGGTAAGGCAGGTACCTTACCTTACCTACAAGAGGCAGTAAATTGTTTTCGAGGGCTAATGTTTCAGCGAATCTTTCCCACACCGTGAAATATTCTAAGTCTAGTATAATATTATAAGGCGTATGTGCATCCTCCTTATAACACTGTGAAACGGCCTAAGACAAGTGAAAGGAAGACAGAATGCATTAAAACTGTAAGAAACCGAGGATGCGCCAAATCAACGCATGTGCAAACTCTTCAGTCCCCGGGTTTGGTGCCGCGCCGGGCGGTCCTCCGCACACGTGAGGGCGCATATTTTCCACCGTCGAGCCGCGTCGGATGAAGAAGCCGAGCAGCGCGATCCTCCGCCCGCCAGAGGGCGCAACAGAACCGGCTCGCCGGGCTCCTGTCTTCATACTGCCGCAAGGAGCCGCTTCGCGGTTTTCCTGTCTCTTTAACAAGGAAATCTCTCGCCCGTTTGGGATCAGCTGGGTGTCTCGGTTGTGTGTGTAACAAAATGTTGGGTGATGGTTTTTAGCTCAACTTAGGTATTTAATCGTACAGTACGGTATTATACTTCAATACCGTGTGGACACCCATTTTGTAACGGTTAAAGTGTACCGTCTACATGTGTGTTTTTCAGCTACCAATTCATCTACAGCGGTGTGTGAATACTCAGGTGTCGTGTGTTACTGTAATCCTTTCAACAAATGGACCTTTTCGTAATGAATGGGGGAATTGTATTATTTCCTGTTGTACTTTAACTTTAAGAATTATAAAATTGATCATTGCAGATTGTTAAATACGCGTGTACAGTGTTTAGTAACGTTGGCAGTCGAGTATTTTCTGAACTGTGTTGTTGGTCTCTCCTGTTAGTGATCCGTTTTCCGTTGTGTGTCCTCGTTAGTTATATGTATGAGGACATCTTTTTCAATGACTTGAAATAGACTTTCATAGTTTAAGTGTCATACTAGGACGCATTATTAAGCCTAAGAAACATACACTTATTTTTTTACGGTTTTTAACTTAAGGATCGGTACAGTTTGTAACGTCTGGAATAACGCAAGTGATTAACATGTGAACACTGACGTAAAATGTATATCATTTTAACTTTAACAGAACGACTTCTGCAAGCCTGCTGTGTGTCAGTGTGTTTTCTTTTTTAATTATTGATTCTCTTTGCATCCTTTCTCCAGAAAGAAGAGTTTGGCTTTGTCATTCTGGCGAGTAAGGACAGTTAACGTAGCTGCTTTATCCCTGTGAAAGAGACATTGATCTGTCGGTTCCATCAGCTTGCTTAAGCAGCTGGAGAGGTAATAATAATAATAATAATAATTGCTTACACATATATAGTGCTTTTCTGGACAGTCCACTCAAAGCACTTTACAGGTAATGGGGACTCCCCTCTACCACCACCAATGTGCAGCCCCACCTGGATGATTTAATGTTTTACTTTCGCTATATCTTCAATATTTTTTTTTCAGCTGCTGCTGTTCATTTTATATGCATTTTCAGTAGCTACTACAAGTACGCATTTCAGTCACATTACAAAGAATTTCCAGTTTTGGATTGGAAATACAGTGACTAATTGAGGTTTAATTAGGTTAAACCTAATTTTACAGTTTTACAGTGGTTGTTTTACAGAGGTTTACATTGACTAATTGAGCTGACATTTTGTCAGCTTTTTTGTTATGGCCTGTGATTTTTTTTTTGTTACTTTTGTATGTTTTTGCCTTTTATGGGAATAGTATGGGAATTTTACATCTATTTAAATGTATAAAGAAATTAAAATTCAGGCAAGCAGTTAAAAAGGCAGTTTCAGGATAAATGTGCATGTTGAAACAAACATGCAACAAATTATAGAAGAATCAGTTTTTGCTATTATGAGGAGCTTGTGGTGCTGAAAAAAAAAGAGGTGTTTAGGAATAACAGAAGTAATTGTGATGTTGGCCATTATTCATCTAGGTAGTCATTTTCACAAGGGCAGAAATACTTTTTTTCTTTCATAAGAAGTTCCACAGTTCTGTTGCATCACATGTCCTGAATTTCTCTGCAGGGAGACTGATTTTGCAGGGAGGACAGTGAATAACTTCACAATCCCCAAGTTCTAAAATATCCTGCAAAGTGTTATTTATTATTAAGAACGTCTTTAAATTAAAAACTAACATTACATTGTCAGGGACATTGAGTTATATACAAACACGGGACAGACAATATTGTGCTGCCCTCACTGGACGCCCTAGCTGCTGCACACCTGGGTAATATTTTGAACTGTTTAGTCAGACTTGCCTTTTGCATGTTCCACAGCTTTTTCACTGGGCTTACTTTGCCCTGTGTCAGTTCTGTGAGGGTTTTAACTCTTTCATCACAGGCTCGACTGCTCTGAATGCGGCTCTCTTTTGTCTTAGACTCCGGGAACATGAGAAGCAGAGTGGAGCACCTGAAGTATGGAGAACAGCCTGACGAAAGCTGCTGTACCAGGGATCTCCTGCTGAGATAACTGTGACCCCCCACCACCACCACCACCTCCATTGATAACGACACGAGTGTGCACCTCTTTTTTACAGCGCAGAATCGTAGCTCGCCGCCCCTCAGGCACGCTCCGGAGTTCTCCCCAGACTGAGATGTCGCAGTCCCCAGAAGCAGAGGAGCGGGGCAAGGAGAAGGAACGGGGCGCCCGACCCAAAGTGAGACAGAGCCGCTCGGAGGAGAGGAGGGAGGGCAATGGCCGGAAGAGTGGAAGAGGGAAGAAGAAAGGCAGGCCTCCCCAGAATCCACTTCCGGAGCGCCCCGTGAGCGATGGCTTTGAGTATGGAGAGCTGCAGGGTGGTAGAGACCCTGGGGACACTGGGTTGCCTTTTCAGGAGAGGTGCAGGTGGCAGGACCTGACGTCAGCGGGCACTGCCCTGCAGGAGTTGGGCGTGGACAGGCCGGTGGCAGGGACAGAGGAAGGGGAGGGCGAAGGTGGCAGTGCAAAGTTGCCCAGCAGCCGCTCCTTGCGGCAGAAGATCCAGGATGCAGTGGGGCAGTGCTTCCCCATCAAGAGCAGCAGCACTCCGTCTCCCAGCCTCTCCCCCTCTTCCTCCACCTCGTCATGTGCCTCCTCTTCCTCTCGCAGGAAGATCCACCTCAGCGAGCTCATGCTGGACAAGTGCCCCTTCCCAGCTGGCTCTGACCTGGCACAGAAGTGGTACCTCATCAAGCAGCACACAGTGCCCATCTCCCAGCCTGCCCTGCTGGACACCCTCAACGGGAACACACTGGACTCGCCCATCACGGCTGTGGTGGAGGATGAAGATGACCGCCTTCGGGAGAGGAGGCGCATCAGCATCGAGCAGGGAGTTGAGCCCCCGCCCAATGCCCATATCCACACCTTTGAGGTGACTGCACAGATCAACCCACTCTACAAGCTTGGGCCCAAACTGGCGCATGGCATGAATGAGCTGGCAGGAGATGACCGGGCTACACTGCAGCAGCAGCTACAGCTACAGCAGCAACAACAACAACAACAGCAGCAGCAGCAGCAACAGCAACAACAGCAACAGCAACAGCAGCAGCAGCAACAACAACAACAACAACAGCAGCACTTCCTTCTGCAAAACTGCTTGGACACCTTAGATGATGTGGTCGCTTCTTCTGCTTCATCTGCAGCATCCTCTTCCAATTTGTCATCTTCAGCCGCCGCGGCTGTCCGACCACTGTCCTCTGCGGTCCTGCAGTCGGATCGCCTGAAAGCCAGGGAGAGCTACCGGGTCCACACGCAGATCGACTACATCCACTGCCTGGTGCCCGACCTCCTCCAGATCACTAACCTGCCCTGCTACTGGGGGGTGATGGACCGCTACGAGGCCGAGGCCCTCCTGGAGGGCAAGCCGGAGGGCACCTTCCTGCTGCGGGATTCGGCCCAGGAGGACTACCTCTTCTCCGTCAGCTTCCGGCGCTACGGCCGCTCCCTGCACGCCCGCATCGAGCAGTGGAACCACAACTTCAGCTTCGACGTGCACGACCCCAGCGTCTTCTACGCCTCCACCGTGACGGGCCTCCTGGAGCATTACAAGGACCCCAACTCCTGCATGTTCTTCGAGCCGCTGCTCTCCAACCCCATCCACCGCGTCCACCCCTTCAGCCTGCAGCACATCTGCCGGGCTGTGATTGCCAGCTGCACCACCTATGACGGCATCGATGTTCTGCCCATCCCCAGCGCCCTCAAGGAGCACCTCAAGGAGTATCATTACAAGCAGAAAGTGCGAGTCAGGAGACTTGACACCTGGTGGGAGTAGCCTGAACAGCGCCTTCCTCAGCTCACCCTGCCCTCCAGTTTAGAGCTCACGTCAAGTCAGCGTTCTCGTGCACGTTCCTGGCACAACAGGCGCTACTTGACATTCATAGGCGTATTTTTCTTTCCTGTAGATTTTCTTTTTTTACTTGTGGAATTGCCCTCTCGGTTACATTTTGCAGGAACCACTGCACTGGTGCTGAGGATTGGAAGCTCATGCGCGGAACATGCTGGCCGTTTCTGCCAGGCCCTGCTACCTGAAGGCTTTCTTTCACAAGGCCTAATCCTAAGGTAGTTCAAGTAGGGAACTCCGTCAGCATGCATAGGCTGCAAAGGAACAAGTAAAGGTTTATTCCATGCTGAGAAGAGAAGAAAAGAAACACGTTTTGGCTGTGGAGCCTTCTTCAGGTGTATCTAATTTTAAGGTAGAAGATAAGTTGGTAGATTTCAGTGAATTCCTGTCACTTTTCTTGGTTCTTTTTATTTATTGTCGTCTTTATTAGCAGGTTCTATTTAGACCTCTGAAAAGCTGTTGTCCAATGAAGTAATTCATGTCACTATCCTACAGAGGATCCTTTTTAATGCTTATTCCAGCATCTTTCTTAAAGGTGGATGGGATTTCAAAATAAAAGAGCCAAGTATGTCTTAATGTACCACTTTTTTTTGGTTTTGCCATTCTTTATTTCATATCTATTTACAACATCTGATCCTGGAGGAAGCGTTGTTAACTGTTATTTCCTTACTTGGTCGCAACTCTTTGTTTTCACCCAATTAATCTGTTTGTTCCCAAATGTCAAGCCTCACCCCATCTCACACCTTACTGATGTGCTCACTGGAGCACTGCTGCAGCGATATGGAACTGGGATTCTATAAAAAACACCTTCATAAGTTAAGGGGTCTCCTTGTGTGTCCTGTTCCAAATCTGGAGTCCTAATGCCTTGTGCCGATAAATGTCCACATTAAGCAATTTTATTCCAGTCAAGCTTTATCACTGAGCAGCCTGCTGATACTTTTAAAGTAGAAAAGCCCAATAAAGTGAAGAAAGTGGGGGGAAAAAATTAGGAACGCGAAGATGAGGAGCTTTGTGCTATCTGGTTGTGCAGTAAAGAAGGGTGGGACCACTCTTGACGAATGTTAGTGGGAGCCAATTAATAGCCTGCTCGTCTAGCTGTCCTCCACCTTGAAACAGCAGAGAGAATGGAGGAGAATGGATCGCTGGTACTTTTGATTACCTAGAACTACCTCTGCTCTCTGGAACAAGCACATTTCCCAAGCACGAAATGACTAGCCATATCACTTATGAAAAAACAACAACTTTTGTATCCTCTGTGGTTGGTCGTTGTGTAATGAAATCTGTGATCCACAAATAATCCTGATGACAAACGAAGGGATTGCGAAGTTGATAATGGCACCTGGAAGATATTTGGGTGTTTGGACATAAACTGCATGACCCAGTTCCAACGTAGACCATCTGCACGGGCTAAGACCCTTTTGTCTTATCATATTTGAGACTGAATACCCAAGTGGAAAATGAAACCTTCTTGTTTTGTGACAAACTACAATATAGAGCAGTTCCGGTCACAGTTACATCATACCTTAAATTACCTTGGCAAAATAATGTCAGAATCATAGGCAGTTTTCCTTCGGTGCTGTATCGGGCTGCTTGCTGTCTCACATAGGATTTATAGACCTGGGAAGGACTGGGCTGTTGGGTGGTGTAACACCATGGGAAGACCATCCTGTACCTGAAACTCAGGATTGATATTCCAGCCTTCAGAACAGAAGACAATTTCCAAAGTCATATCTCCTGCAAGTCTTTCAAAATGGTACGGGCGCATTTCAGGTGGGAAAATGAAACATCAAGCACCCCGTCTCCTCTCAGTGAAGCCCCTTTGATCGTCAGAACATAAGATCCCGTGTGCTGTGGAGTCTACAAAAGAAAACACATGCTGACATTTCTTCAGTTGCCCAGAATGAGCCAGTGTTTGTGAGTTTTTGGTTAAGACTTTGCATTCTCTGCCTTGATTCGGTATGTATTAAGAACTTGTCCCTGGGAATTTATCAGGAAGCAAAACGTTGCTGCACAATGTGTTTTGCCCTTAAGGACTTGGGCAGAACTTTCTTATCTTGCTACCTACTGTTGGTTCACTCTGTTGATATTTCTGTTACCTTTGTTCTTGGTCATCTCTGATTAAAGCTGGTCTCGGAAAAGAGTAAGTTGCCCCATGCATTTGGTTGAGTGTACTAACTGTACTAGTCTCCGAGTGTCTGCTGTCAATAATTTTTTTTAAGTTTTGGCAAGTGTTTTCACGAAGTCATTTTGTCTGGAATGGTTAATTGGATCATCAATTGATGGCCTTAGCAAAGAAACTAAGCACAGCCTAAATTCCATAAATTACTCCTGTAATTACTCCTCCTAAATGACTCCTGTAATTTTTCAGGAAAACTCTGAGTTTGTGCACTATCATTGGGGGTGGTCGAAAAATGAGGTTTAGGTTTGGACACTCATTATTCTTGAACAGGCTTTATAAACATGTTTTCTTGTGAACTGCCGGGGGCTTTTCTCTGTGATAATTTGATCATGGCTGTCATTCTCCATTCCAAGTTAGTCTCAGAGTGTTGGCTGTCATGCATCCTATTTAGTTTTGCAAGTGTTTCCAAGAAGTCATTTTTTCTGAAATGGTTAATTGAGAAATTAGGAGATATTTATGGTTTCTTTAAATACACAAAGCACAGCCTAAATACAGACATTGTGCAGGCAAGAACTGAATCAAATAGAAAAAAAAGCATTAAAGTGTTGTGCCCACTATTTTTACATAGAAAAAAAGTCTGTCTACATGTCTATGCTTACCCCAAATTTGTACTTCCTTTATTGTGCTGTATGAAGTTCATCTTGTGAATGATGTAAACTGTACAGCACAGGACAGGAATATTTTCTTTGATTTACTTTGTAGCAGCTCTTCGAATACAGCTATAATTTCACGTGTCAGACCGGTAACTTTAGAGGATGCAATTTATGAGTGACTTATTGCACTGTTTTTTACATTGTTAAATCTGAAATAAAACTGGATTTATCTGAACTTGTACTTAAACTGCAATTGCTGCCAGCACTTCATAAGTCTCGGAATGAATTATTCTTCACCGATTCATGCTTGAGCTCATAATTCAGTCTGCTGCGTGCTTTGTCATGGTGGTAATCAAATGAGACATTTTTAGACTTTGTCATTTGTATTCTAATCCCTGAGGTACAGTAGTGTATTACATTGTCTTCTCTGCAAGTAAAGAAACTATTTTCTGAAAGTAGTTAAGTCAACATAGAAAGAAAGGCAGTAAAACATTTTCAGGTCATATAATGCTTCTGTGACTAAATTGAATTTAATATACTGTTCTCTTTGGCTTTGCAGTTTATTCCTCAGTAAAGGGCTTTATATTAGGGAGTAACTCTTCTCTGTTAGCAGGATTCACCCTGTCTGTTATACAAAAACGTAGATTTTTGTCCTATTTAAAAAGCCAAAAAGTCGTATTGCCATATGCTAAAAATTCACAATGCAGTCATGATTCATTCACCTGTCATGGGTGCTACTGTGCAGTTGCTGTTAATCACTATGTGATGTTGAGGTTGGCGGAATATTAAGCACTGAAATCTTTTTTTTCTGTCAGTCCGCAATGTACGAAACTATCCACTGTATTTGCACATAATCTTGTTTACATTCCCATATTGTTAGCATTCTCCAGGTTTAGACCTCTGCGTTTTGATCTCAAGTGTAACGCTGCCAACTTTTTTTTTTGCAAAGATGCAGAAAAAACATTGATGTGCACGGACTCTTAAAAGCAAGAAGCACTGTTTCCTGAACAGTCGATTCTGTATGCCACTTGTTGGAATGCGTTTGCTTTTGCTAGTAAATCTGTTGATGTTGGATCTGTTGTTGTTTTTTTTAATGTCTGAAAAGTTTGTTGTTCAAAAACTTGTGATGTGTTAAGAAAACTGCTAAATTCTTACTGAAGAAACTGGCATTACTTTCCAACACGCCCATGCTTCGAATAAGCACATGATTTGTACAAATTGCATATGTACTTGAAAACTGAAACATTCTTCTCTGAGAGAAAAAAAAAGTCCCTTTAATTTATTGGTTTATTGCACAATAGTGTCACATCTGTGGAAACAAACTTTATGGTTTTGTTGTGATGATATTGGAGAATACTTGCATGGGAGAAAATTTGTGGAGTGGTTTGAAAAAAACGTTGTTTATCTTGCGTTTATCTTAAAGAAAAAAAAAAGACGGGCGACCACGATCCGGAAGTGGAGTATGTCTCAAAGGTTTTTGCTGATATTTTTCTAAGAGACCCGTGTTGTAGCTGTCATCCCTCTTTTTTCCATACAGCAGTAGTTCTCAATCCTGGTCTTGTTGACCTGCACACCCGCTGGTCAGATGGAATGAAAGCCTTCATAAGCTAACTGAAGCCTTCATTGATCTAAGAAGTTCCTTAGAACTTTTGCATTTTGTTTCTATTTGCAAGTTGGGGGTTTTATTTCACTGACAAAATATAACAGTTAAAGCTCCAACTTGTTTAAGAGTTGGGAACATCTAGTTAAAATTAATCTTATTATTTTTTCATGAAGGAAGGGCTTGATTGTGTCACTGAGGGCTGGGCTAGAACTTAAACCAACGGGTGTGTGGATCACCAGGTCCAGGATTAGGAAGCTTTACTGTAAACCTACTCATTTTGGAATCGCCAGCTGTTCAGCATAGAGACTCCTGGTCAGATCTGATTTGGGGAAGCGGGGAGCGCTGGCGTGCCCGCCAGTCACAGCCACTCAGCGCCGCAGCGCCTTACAGAAGAGTTCATTCTGATTGGAGGAGCAGCTCGTCTCACTCTGTGACATCACCACGAGGCCGCAGTTGCCCTGCAGTTTCCTGTGAGAGGAGCTGACGGGACCCTGGTTCGCCAACGCCTGCCCTACCCTGGCAGCACTCTAGTGGGTTTGTGCCTTCGCAGCCTGAAGGCGTCAGTACCCGCATGCCCGAGGTTACAGCACCGCAGCCTGTGCTCTGATTGAAACATTAATTGCCGTCCTTTCTGGTGAGCCATTTGCTCTTTTCAATTACGTGGGGGAAATGTTGCTCCTGGGATAAAATTATTTTTAGAAAAATTCCCTGGCTCCAGTTTGAGATGTTTAAAGTCAGTTTATAGTTTCAGAATCTTGAGTTTGGGCCTGTGAGGTATGTAGGAAGCATAGATATAATATCTATAAACATGCAGAAGTACAAATATGGAGGTTAAAACCTGTTCAAGTGGGATTTTCCTGTAGATCTACATTTTTTTTCTACCGTTTCATTGAACATGGCAAAGGTGTCTTGAGCCTGTAGTAGTGTACAGTATGTACAAAAGTCTGATGTTCTGGTTCAGTCTACCTCAGTGGGGAATTATGGAGAGCCAGAAGTCAAGAGCATTTCAGTTCGGACTGGGATGCTTGAGAAATGTAATATAGACTCCAACAGGGAGGAAACCCCTTACCAAAAAGCAATGTATTGGAAATGTGTTTTTCCACTTCTAAGAAAAAATCTCTCAAACCTCTGCGGTCAGAACCTGGAGCTCCTCCAGACCTCTGGGTTGAGTGTGCTGCTTAAACATGGGGTTGCAGTTTCCTTTCTTTAAACACAGGAGAGAAATAAGCAGTATCGGTTGTCATGTAAGAGCCGCTTTGGAATTTCAGTGAAGCTGGTCTGTGGTTATTGAACAAAGCAGAGAAATGCCTCAAGAATGATTCTCGTAATCTGTAGTGCAATAACAGCACAGACCTTACCTTTTTTTTTTATCTTTATTTTATCGAGGCGTGGCATTACTTAGTCTTGCGGATGGTTAATCTCTCGACCTCAGCTTAGCTTTCCTGCTTTGTCTGCGTGCTTCTCTGCAGTTCTTCCTTCTGCTTTGCAGGGAGGTCTCTGGCATTCCAGGAATTTCTGTGAAATTTTACAGGGCTCTGAGAAAGCTGTGGCATTTCCCTCCAGCTTCATGAAAAAACATTTTGTGACCGTGCTGTGCTGGTTTTCTGGTAAAATCAGTTAGCACGACCTAAATTACAGCACATTTTTTTGCTTTTGGTTTTAATTGCCATTTCTGTACTCCCAGTTCAACATCTTGCAGTGCAGTGGAGCTGGAGGTTTATCAAAACACTGAGCCTCCAGTTTCTGAGCAAATCTTGAGGGATTTTGTTCTTCACTTGCAGAAACGTCCAAAAAAAATATCTTGGAACATGAGTGCACTTTTGAGCATATTCAGTCCAGGTATAGCCAGACCCAATAATTCAGGAAATAAGAACACAAGTAAAATTGCGAAAAAGGAGGCTATCTGCCCTATCTAGCTGTTTTTATACTTAGTAAATTGATCTGACAATCTAATCCAGCTGTTCTTGAAAACAAGATTGTGATGACTGGGTGGCTTGTTCCAGACTTCCACAACCATTGGAGTAAACAAGTACCTCCAGGTCTCATTTTTACACCCACTTCCTATTCTTTGGTATTTGAGGTCACTGGTTCGGAATCTATAAACAAATATTCTAGTGATAAGCTTTCCATGTCAGTGCCACCAGTTATTGCATGCCTGTGATAAACTGTGGAAGTACAAAATGAAATCCTACGCACTGCAGCAGCTCAGCAATCATTGACTGACTGTTCCTTGAGGACCATGCAGCTTCTGTTTTTCTTGTTCCTCTCGGGCTTTTGATTAATTGAGCTAATTGTGGAGTTAATTAATGCCTTCTCCCAAATCCTGAAGTAACTGATGATGTAAGCACACTGATAAGACCAGCCTCCAAGGCCTGGAGGTGCCTGCTACCTCAGAGGGCCTTCCTGTAACTCTGTGTGAGAACACTGCGGGGCAGTGCGGTGGATCTGCGCCTGTGGCTGGAAGGTTGCCGGCTCAAATCCCACGGCCGGCAGAGGAATCCTACTCCGTTGGGCCCCTGAGCGAGGCCCTGAACCCCAACTACTTCAGGGGCGCCTTATAAAATGTCTGACCCTGCGCTCTGATCCGAAGCTTCTCTCCCTGTCAGTGTGTCTGTGTATCTGATGGAGAGCAAGCTCTGGTATGCGAAAAGATAAATTCCTAATGCAAAAAATCGTATTTGGCCAATAAAGTGATCTTATCTTATCAAAAATGGGAATATAGCAGAATTGCACTTAATTTGAAACTGCAATACTGCGGTTACCCACTAGATGGTTCTTTAGAGCTACTGCCTTCTATATTTTGAAACGGATAATGTACCAGAGGCAGAGTTCATGTGCATAAAGTAAAAAAAATGCTGGTTTTAATTTTACATGATCTGAAATTTCATATCCAGCAGTGCATGGCGGAAATAACCAATATAATGTCTCCCACTGGTGAATGGTGATCAGTACAGTGGGTAAGTGATTAGAGCTCTCGGGGACCTGGCAAAGAGATCTGGTGGTTTGTGTTCCTGGCAGGATTTTAAGTCAATGGGTTTAATACCAGGGAGGATCACCTGCAAAAACGCTAAGGAACACATGCCAGGAGACAAATCTTTCAGTGCACTGCAGTGGACTTGGAGAGGTGGACCATGAGCTTGGAAATGAGCAATTTATTGCTTTGTGCTTCGTCAGCTTGATTTGTTAAAACCTGAATTGGTTTAAACTGCTGTACAATTGGAGACTTATTCTTTATCACCGGCTGCAGAAACAGTTCAGAGGGTCAGGGAATAGCAGCCAAGACTGCTTACCTTGTGTAGTGAGGTGAGCCCAGTACAGCTGTGATATTCTTTGTGAAAGAACCATTCTCGTTTGGGAGAAGAAGATAGGTGCTTTGTGCTTCCAATGCCTTTGGAGACGTGAAAAGATGTTTCTATTGTGAAGAAATGCTTTCTATTCTGCATGCACATCTCCTCAAGATTAGGAATATTTTGGAATGTATTACAAATGGCCCAGGTAAGCTCATAATTAGCTCAATTAGGTCATTGATAGCAGCTGTGGAATGAAATGGAATAAAAGCCCATACATGTTATGGGCTCCAGAACTGGAGTTATGATCACTGTATTATAATGCTACTCCTAAGCTTGGTTTTGTAGGGGTCCACAACAGCATAAGCATGAAGCCCAGTGGCTGTAATTGTGTATAGGTTTGTGGACAGCTCCATAAGTTGAATTTCCTATTGTTTCTTAAGTGCTACATGAGAATATTGAAGTTGGCAAAGAGCATTTTAATACCCATTCCCCTCACTAGAGTTCTGATATATAGTATCTGTTTTTCAGCACTTGTTCTATCACGTCCACGCAGAGTTAGAACATAATATGGTCACATGATTTGAATTCCCACTTAAGACTGATTGCCTTGGCTAGCTGATGCACCCTTGATCATCTATCATCTGTCAGTGATGTTCCAGACAATGTCAATTATTCAGGGAAATCGTAGCCGTGAATTTCATCTTGCAGACGTGGCCTTGAGCAATAGAAATGGAGTGAGAGCGAGGATTTAAGGCTGGGGAGCTCACTGGGTTAGAGTTACACTAAAATTGGGAGTTGGGGGTTGGGGAAGGTGGGGGATTGTATATGATTTCTTTGACCTAAAGTCAGCTCAAGCAAGTTTTGATCTGAAAGCCCTATATAGTTTTTTTTGTTTGTTTTGGCTGTTTTTATTTTTTAAAGTCTGCCCCGTCTTTCTGTGTGATAAAGCTTTGATTGTTCCTTACTGAACACCGTGAGAGGACTCGGTTCGCCTTCGCATTTAATGCATTTAGGACGCAGTGTTCCATGTATCACTGTCCGAGGCAATTATCTTCTAACTGAAGCTTTCATATTATAAAGCAAAATAATGGCAGGCTTATTTGCATCTAAAACAGGAGCTGCTTACTGTCTGAATGAGAAAAGAGCTGACTGATAGCTGGAGAGTGGCATTTATTAGGGTT